ATGGCAGCCAGAGAGCTGGTCTGACCCAACGCGCCGAGTTGCCAACGAACCAGAAAGGAGTCCAGCTGTGGGCCCGCACCCAAGGCCAGAGGCCATGCCCAAAGCGTGAGGAACGGGCTCCCCAGCTCACAGAATGCTCACAGACCCTCTCCAGGCCTCAGTTTCCCCGATACAATGGCCATGCGCGCAAAGCCCGCCTCCCGCTGCCCTGGACCCTGGACTTGGCCTCTGCCCACTGACCCTCATGGCTGCTTGGTGGCCGGTGAGCCCCACTAGGTGAACACTCTGGGGGCCCGGTCACGCTCACCTGGTTTGTGCCGTGTCCCCCAGGCCCAGACATCACCTGGCATCTAGCAGGGGCTCAGTACGCATTTGCTGAATAAGAAATAAACGTAAAAGTGCCCACTCACCAAAGGCCACACGCCAGAAACACCTGCCTGGCTTTCCTGCAAACGCAGTGACTGTCGGGGTAACCGGTGCTGCTTCTTCAAGCGCAAAGACTGATTTTAGTTTAAGCCTCTTGACAGACAGCTTTCTAAAACCTCTTTAAACAGCAGCGATGGTAACTTGGTAAAGGGTGGTGGTGAGTGGTGTGGTGAAGGGAATCGCTGCAAAACAGCAAAGCTCACTCACTCGGCCCAGTGGTACCTGAGCCCGAAAGCTCGCTTCTTCCCCATCCCAATGCCTCGTTCTAAACCTCGCAGGTGCCACTTTATAGGCTGAGAAGACATTCTTCACAACCACAGAATTTCTGGAGAATTCTTTCTCCTGCACCTACCATTCAGTTCATAAAGCGCCCCTAGTAAAGCCCCTCCCCCTCACCACCACTGTCACAGCAGGGGACCCGGCCTGCTGTCCCCTAGCCTGGGTGTCCTCCTTCCCAGCTGTGGAAGGTCCCCTCCAGCCCCGGAGCCCCCGGGGGGAAGCCTGGATCTGCACTTCAGCAGCCTGAGCACCGGCCTGGGCCCAACTCCCGGTCAGACTGCCCCCCAGAGGCCATGGCCACGGCCACGGCCACGGCCAGGATGCTTTGTTCAGATGCACAGTATCTTCGCTTCCCTGTTGACAATTTTAACACGAATGACCAACATTTAAGTTCAGGAAACTTCACCCAACTCAGATCGCCGGCTTCTCCTGCAGTATCAGATCTGGGGGCAGCAACCCGTGCCTGCCCCGAGGACCAGTGTGAGTAGACGCGAGTCCCGCCATGTGACATGCTGGCCCCCACACAGCCACGTGGCCACCCTCAGTGTGAACCCAGGTGGGGCAGGCCTTGGAGTGGGGCCCTGTGCCGGCCCCAGGGCGTACACCAGCCTGCTTCACCATGCTGTGTGCCTGGCCCCGTGGCCTTCGGGATTTAGGGCATTTCCCCAAGATCCTGCCAAGAATCTCTGCCCAGAATCCTCTGCTCACGGAGTGCCTGGCCTGCGCCCACCTCCTCCTTCTTTCCTTGGCTGACCTCGGGACATGCCCGCTCCAGGCTGTTTGATAACTGCCTTCCAGAAACATCTAAAGCGCTCTCGCCGACCTGCTTCTCCTCCGGCTGCTCAGTGACGGTAACACCACCTGCCCAGGGGTCTAAACCGACAC